TAGTCCGAGGAAAGGAAGGTACCTCCATGAAGGGCTGCGTTATCTTGTCGTACAGCTGTCGGACTCTGTCGGTGAGGAGCACCTCGAAGGTCTGGATTTCGGAGTTGGGCTCCAGGCCTCTCAGAGGGCACAGATCCTCCTGCCACGGGGGGAAATGGAGGCATGATCCTGGAAAGGCAATGCTTGTGACTGGCATCCAAGTTGGACTTCCAGATAAAATACCCACAGCCCTCTACAGACTGATCTGGAGCAACGTGCCTCAAGATGGGGCATGCAGGGGATTCCTGGAGGGTGCAGAAGAAGGAAGGGAAACTAGAAATGGAGGAGGCACTAAGCGTGAGAAACACCACAGCGATTCCTCCGAGGCTCGGGAGAGGTTACAGCGGGGCTGTGGCCCCACCAAGCAGGTAAGCACCTTCAGAAGAAGCAGCAAAAGCAGCAGGACAGCCCCAGGGGCCTGGCTTACCTCCTCCCTGCGGAGGCAGGCATACATGGCGTCCATGCCCACATCAGCCTGGCCGTGCACGCTTCGCCCATGGATGTAAAACCCATAGCATCTGTGCATCAGGATGAAGACGGACACCTGTACATTGGAAGAATGGGAGCGTGCACCGAGGTCAGTGATTCTCCACCGAGGTGCCAGGAGGTTACTGCAAAATATTCCCACGATTGGGCATGCAGCCACTTGCATGTGACTCGCAAGACAAACCCAGATTTCAAACAGGAATCCAGAGTGTCAAAAACCTTCTGAGCTGCTGTGCCTTTCTGGGCTCTTTGCAACGAAAGAATTTCCTGTATTATTTTTGCATTGTCAAAAACAAGGGAAAGCTAAAAGCTGGCATTTTCCAAGGGGGATCTGGAGCCACTCGCCTAAGTAAGGTTGAGACCCACTCACCTAAGTAATCACTAATCACAGTCCTACAGGGCCAGCCCAAGTGTCTGCCGTGTGCTTTGCCCTAGGGTGCGAGGCCCCCTCCCAAAAATACACCACTGGGACACTGATCCCCCCGGGAATGTTTTTAGCAGACCCAGGCAACATCAGAGGCTGTGTACTCATGGCAGCTTCATCTTCCCTGTGATGGTGAGTTAGCGAAGGGCAAGAGAGCAGTTATGGAGCATGGGGAAGGGCAGAGAAAGTTATCTGCTCATAGCACAGACTCGTTTCCACCCCGAATGGAGGAGGACATGGCATGGCTGCCTCCTGGCACTGGGAGAAGCAATGTGATGGGCTATAAGGAGAAGCCAAGTGCAGCGCATAAGCTTAGGTAGTGGGTGGGAGTTTTCACCAGGCCCTGCGCTCATCTCTCTGGGGCCAGGCTGTCAGCTGGGCTGGCGTGAAAAGCACTGGCACTCTCAAGGGTGCAAACCAGCAGCAGCAAGCCTACCAAGCCAGCAGGATGTGGAAAAAGGGCAGCAAGGTGGGTGTGCAAACCTGTGCGGGCACAATGTGGTACACGCAGAAATTGTGCACGCACCCAACGCGGCCAGGGCGAGAAGGAAGCAGGTGGAAGGGAGGGAGGGAGGGTGTGGGAATGCTTGGGGCTAGCCAGGGAGGCTGGTGCTCGGGAGACGAGGGATGACACTTTGACAGCTGGAGCGTTCCCCTCTCCGCACAGCAGCCCAGATGTTCAGCTGTTCTGCATGGGAGCAGCGCCAGTGCCAGATCGAGCTCAGAGCTCGTGACCTCGCTCCTGAGCCGGCCCGGCTGCCCAGCACTCACGTTGCTCAGGGAGCAGAGATCTACGAACTGATGGATCTTGTCCTCCACGAACCGCTCGTAGACACCGACGAAAAACACCATCTGCAAGGAACAGCAGCAAGCAGCTGCATTGCCCGCACTCAGCAGACATCTTACATAACCCAGGCCCAGCAGCAAGGAAAAGCAGTCTCCTTTCCTCCCCCTGTTTGGAAGCCCCTACGTTATCTCGTGCTCTGGCTCGCTGCCAAACGCCTTCCGTCTCTGGGCCTAAAAAGATGCAAGTTCAAGTCTTGCACAAGGTCATACGTTGGCGAGCAACGCTAGGCTGAATGAAAGCAAATCCTGCCTGAGGGAGGAACTGCATAATTGGGCATGTCCTTTGCTAAACTCTGTCTTGCTTTGACAGGGCAGTAAAGGGAGCCTGGTTAAAGACACTTCCATCAGGTAAGACGTTAAGCGCTTTCCTCTGCCGACATCCCACACCCTCTCCAGGCTTGCAGTGCCCTGCCCCAGCCCAATCAAAGCCCGGTCCCGGGAGTGGTGGGTGCACTTTGTGCCCCTCTGAATGTGCCCGTGCCCAGCCAGGCAGTCGTTCACCTGCACAATTGCCACGGCCATCCAGAGGGAAGCAGAGATCCCAAACCGAAGGATCGGGCTCCACGCCGCCACGTATGAGTCAGGGCCAGGGTGCAGATTCACGGTCAGGTCACGCGACGCCAAGTGCTTCAAGCCCATGACCTGGAAATAGAAACCAGTGCACAATGTGGCCCTGCACCCCTCCTTGAGTTGCACTGAAAAAAAGCCTTGGTACCTTGTGGGCCATCCAAATAAATCATCACAGATCAGGACAAATCCTGGAAGCATCACTGAATTTTTAAACCTCCTTTCAGGCACTCAAATACCAGGATTATGGGCCCCGCATAGAAGCCTTCCTGCTTTTTCAGCTGCCGGGGTGAAATTTCCAACCAGCTTCCAAATGAGCTTTCACTGTTTTACACGCACAATTTTAATTTTAGCACTCATTAAAAAATAAATAAAAAGACCCTCAATGTTTGTTCATGCAAATGAGGCATTCTGCTAATTGCCTAATTTGTGAATTCAAAGCCTGCGCGGCTGCACAAAATCCCAGTTACTCGAGAAGCAGGGAAGGGTAGGATGAAAGTCAGAGATTGTTTCTGGGTTCACCAAGAAAGAGGATTTTTCTGCATCTCGGCTCCTGCCGGGCTCTGAAGGGTCCATATGCAGAGCCCCAAGCTACACAGACCTGGGGAATCCCAGTCTCCACGGAGGAAACATTTAACCAGGGCAGACGCAGCCAAACCAGCATCTGCACAGCTTGCGTTCCAGCTTTGTCTCCTTTCTGCACCAGAGACCAGACTTAGCAGACTCTTTATCCAGCGTGCAGAGATCAAATAACTGGATCAAATAACTGCAAGCCCCAGGGGATAAAGCACTGAGCTGCCGCAGTTCTCCACGCAAAATCACGCAGCATCATTAAAGACAAGATTAGACTACGACACGCCTCATTGTGCCGGCAGTTTTGCTCAGAGCTCAGGCTATCCCCCAAGCAGGCCTCACCGCCCCGGTTTCTGTGCGATCGGAGCTGGTGACAGACGCGCTCACGCGGGGGACGCCTCGTTTCCGTGGTCGTGAGCCCGGGAGAGCCGCAGGATTACGGGGGACCCGGTGCCGCATCGCTTCCTCCAGGTGTCCCTTCCCATCTCCCCCGTACCTCCAGGAGAAGCAGCACCGCCCCCAGCTGAAGCAGCGGATTCAATTTCCGATGCGTTTGGATTTCGTTCCACTCGTTGGCGACCAGGAAAGTTCTCCAGATGCTCACAGAGGAAGCGACCCGCCGGCCTCCTAAGAGGAAAGCCCCATGCTGATTTCCATTCCTTTAATTGTGACGCCGCGCACGAGCTCGGAGGGCTCTGGGCAAAGCACGGAGCTAAACGTGGGCTTCTGTTACATTCATTTTTCCCTCCCGATATGAATCCCTTATGATCCAAGGTGACGGGGGCTCTCAAAACAGCTTCCTGTCAAACCACCACTGATGCCTCCAGGAGCTGGGATTGCTCTGCAAGCACTGGTCAGCGAAGTCAGCAGCAACCCAACCCAGAGCAGCACTGGGGATGTCACGGCCCACATCTACTGAGCAGGAAAGGCTTGTGCGGCTTTTTCTCCCTATTTTTTAATGAATGCTAACACTAAAATTGTGCGTGTAAAACAGTGAAAGCTCATTTGGAAGCTGGTTGAAAATTCGCCCCGGCAGCTAAAAAAAG